TTGGCCGGATATCAGCTTGCCTCCTCCTCCCCAGCAATGGATTGCCACGGTAGGCATTTAATGTGGAGATCTGAACTAAATCCTCATGCTTGTATGGCAGGCACTTTACTGACTGAGCCTCTCTTCAGCCCTTAGTTGAAAAAGTTTTGAGAAGCCCCCGTTTCTTGGAAGAATTTGCTTTTATAAACAAACCTTCTTTCACTAGCCAGGAGGGCCAGTAGCCCTTGTGACCATCACTTTTTTCCTGAGCATGCTGGGTGGAGTCTAGTTTGGACTGACAGTGCACCCAGCCAGTAGAACACACCTGGAGAGCATGCCTGCCAATTGCTTGTGGCCTAGTGATGGACTGCTTGGCTCTCTCTTTCCTGCCTCATTTTCCCTTCTGAGCCTGGTGACGGGGCTTGGCCTCAAGCAGCCCACCAAAGCTTTCTCTGAAATCTGTAGTTTTATCTTAAAATTTTAGGTCAGCCTTGTATTCTGCTGCAAGACATATTGTTCTTTGTTTTCATATGGTGATGTGTGAAATAACTCACTGATTAAGTTGCCCAACTCTAGTCTCCACTCTAGTTCCTATTGTCTATTTAGGGGTGTGGAGGAAACTGCAGGAGGAGCTTCATGTCTGTCTATCTATCTGTCCTGCCACACAGTTGATGTGTGTCACTGGGGAGCCAGTTCTATTCCAAAGTAAACCTGGGTGGCCTGGCATTTCTGCCCAGGACTTGCCCAGGCTCCTGTGTCTCCCTCTGCCCTGTAGAGAGGGAACCACAGAAAGGAGGGAGGTCCCTCAAAGAGTTTCCAGCTGGGGAGTCTGCATGTTCTTTCCCAGGCTTACATGGCTAAGCAAGGGTCAGGAAAAACTTCCCAGTGAGAATGGTGACATTCTTTCCTTTTTCTTTTTACAGCTTTAGAGAAGGAACTTAGTGCCACATGTGCACCAGGCAAGCAACCTATCACTGAAAAGATTCAAGCGTGATTTCATGCCAAAGTGTTATGTTTGTGCCAAATGAGAGTAAAATGCATGCCATCTTACCAAAGCTTCCCCAACATTTCCATTAGAGTAAGATGAGTCTCACAGTACACCATATCTAGAAAGACAGACTCCAAGCACCTGCCCCACTAAGGCTCCATCTGTCAGTGTGTATAGGGAGACAACTGCAGCAAAGATGAGGGGCCTAATATATGCACACATATATATGTGAATACACACACACACACACACACACACACACACACAATATATATATATATATATAGGAGATAAGTAGCAACATCAATGCTGTTAATGTTGTTGTTAAGGTACACTCTTAGTTGAGTGCTGTGCAGTATCTCCTAAAGGTGGTCATATTTTTAAAAAATACTTATGTGTATGTTTTTTTTAAGATTTTACTTATTTATTATCTATACAACATTCTGTGTACATCTGCACACCAGAAAAGGGTACCAGATCTCATAACAGATGGTTGTGAGCCACCATGTGGTTGCTGGGAATTGAACTCAGGACCTCTGGAAGAGCAGTCGGCGCTCTTAACCTCTGAGCCATCTCTCCAGCCCCCGTATTTTTTTTTTTTTGCCTGCACATATTTCTGGACACCATGTTTGTGCCCGGTGCTCTGGGAAGCCAGAAGATGGAGTTTCAGAAGATTGTTAGTGGCTGTCTGGGTGCTGGAATCCAAACTCAAGTCTTCTGAAGACCAGCTAGTGCTCCTGTAATCCCAGCACTTTGGGATGGAAAGAGGCAGACCTTAAGAGCTCATTGGCTCTGGCTTAGCCAAAATGAGTGAGCTCCTGTATCAATGAGAGGCACTGTCTCAAAAAAATAAGATAGAGAGGGACAGAGGAAGATACCTGACGTTGTCCTCTGGCCTCTGCACAAGTGCACCTAGAAGTATACATCCCATCAGCATATGGAATCACCATTGATCCAATAATTGTAAATGAAAGCAAAGACCTCAGCAGGTATTGGCCCACTTTTAAAAATGAAACTTTAGAGCCAGGCAGTGGTGGCTCATGCCTGTAGTCCCAGTACTCAGGAAGCAGAGGCAGGAGGATCTCTGTGAGTTTGAGGCCAGCCTGGTCTACAGAGGGAGTTCCAGGACAGCCATCGCTACCCAAAGAAACCCTGTCTCAGAAAACAAAAACAAAATCTTTATTCCATGCACATGAGCACTCATTTGTGTGCCATAGTGCCCATGTGAATGTCAGAGGGCAATTTTGGTTCTCTCCTTCCACTTTCTGTGGGTTCCAGGGATCGAACTCATGAGGTCACCTCACCAGGCTTATGTGTCAAGCTCTTTTACCTGCTGAGCCATCTTGCTAGTTTGCTTTTTAAAGACTTATTTTGTTTTTATAATTTATATTTGCGTGTGTCTGTGCAGGTCTCAGTGGATGCCAGGGGCAGGAGATCCTCTAGAGTCACAGGGATTATGAGCTGCCCAACTTGGTTGCTGGGAATTGACCTTGTATCCTCTGCAAGAAACCCTTGGCAATCAGCCTGCCTTGGCTGCCTCAGCCTCCTGCATGCTGGGGTGACAGGTGTGAGTCATGTACCTGGCTTCACACTAGTATCCATATCGGCATTATTCGCAATGGCCAAAAGTCAGAAGCAACCTGATAAGTGGCTAAAGAAAGTGGTAACTGAGACATAAAGTGTTATTATTTAGCCCTAAAAGGGAAAGGAATTCTGATGTTTACTACAGACTGACAGACCATGAGGACACTGTTAAGTAAAACAAGCCAGTCACAAAAGGACGGCCGTATGACTCTAATTATGTGAGGTACCCAGAGAGTCAGTACTTAGAGACAGAAGGTAGAATGGGAGTTGGGACCCTGGGGAGGAAAGAACAGAGAATTGTATTAATGGGTATGGAATTCCAGTTGCATGAACAAGTTCTGTGGACAGATGCTGATGGCTGTGTTAACAATGCGCATAATGCCACTGAGTTGCACTGGAACAAGCCAACATGGTAATTTTTTTTTTTTTTTTTCGAGACAGGGTTTCTCTGTGGCTTTGGAGGCTGTCCTGGAACTAGCTTTTGTAGACCAGACTGGTCTCGAACTCACAGAGATATGCCTGCCTCTGCCTCCCGAAGGCTGAGATTAAAGGCATGCGCCACCAATGCCCGGCTCAACATGGTAAATTTTTTAAAAAAGTTTTTATTACCTTTTTATTTACTTATTTTGTGTGTGCGTGCATGTGTGTGTGATGTGCATGTGTTTCTGTGGGTACATGCTTAAGCCAGGGTGCATGGATGGAGGTCAGAGGAAAACTTGCATTTGTATTACTCAACTCTCTCCTTCTACCATGTGGGTCTAGCCTGGAACTTAGGTCACTGGGGTTGCTGTAAGCACCTTTACCCACTGAGCTATATCCTTTTCAAAGTGATCACACTGCCTTAATTGGTGTTGTATAGATAGGCCTAATAACATTTTGCTTTATTTAGTTATTTATATTTTTGTTTTTATATTCCATCCAAAGTTTCCTCTCCCTCTCCTCATCCCAGCTCCTCCCCCTAACTCCTTGCCACATCCACTTTTCCTCCACTGTTCAGATACAGGCGGGTATCCCACAGATATCAGCCAGCACAGCATATCAAGTTGCAGTGAGACTAGGTACCTCCTCTTCTATTAAGGCAGGACAAGGCAATCTGGTACAACGTGGTAAATTACACATGACTGTGTAATGTGCCACCGTAAACCCAAGGAAGGGGCTGTAGCAAGTGCATGCTCACAGCAGCCTGAGTGCAGCCCAGTCCAGCTCTCCAGGATCATTAGGTCACTACCCACTCTCAAGGCAAGTGTTTTCAATCCTCTAGAACCTGCTCTGAGGAACTTCTGCAGGGCTCTCCAAGTGAGCATTTGGAGGGTTCTGGAAAAAAAAATCTGTGAATCTGTTTGTTTGTTTTTTTCTAAATAGAAGCCCTGACCCCCGATCCTGTCCATATTGCTCTGTGGGGGCAGGACATGAGCATGAAGGCTGGTGGCTTCAGATAGGGACACAGGTGCTACAGGATACTATGACATTGTAAATGATTAGCACAGGCCCTGAAGCAGCAGAGTTTGTTCTGTGTAGCATTTAAAAATGTCTCATGAACAACAAGACTCTCATCAAATACATTTTGGAAACACTGGGTTAAGTTTCATCAGGCATTTGTGCACCTTTCTCCTTATCTTCCATTGCCAGTGCATCTATGTGCCCAGGGGACATGGAAGGGTCCTCATTTAAGTTTAACCAAATAGAATTGGCCACAGAACACTTTCTCAGGTCATGCTGGGATGTAGATATTCCATAAACACACTTTGTATACTTATATTTTATGAAAAAAGATAAGATGGAAGGACCACAAACACTAGGTCAGAGGGTGGCAAATGTTCTTGGGTTTTCTCCCGAGACTTTGCCTTGGTTCTGCCTTTGAGAAACTAATAAATCTCTCTTGTGAACAGAGAACCTGGGTGTCCTGTACCCAACGATGGCTACATGCTTTTCCTACTCCTGTACCCCTGCTCACCAGAAAGCAGTGCCAGCAGGAGCAATACACCCTGGACCTGTGACGTTTCCAATCTTCAGGCACAACTAAGATACCCTGCAACTATAAGGTGGCTTTCCCTTGTGTTTTTATGTTTGCTTGTTTGTTTCGTTTTTGAGGCAGAGTTTCTCTGTGTTTTTCTGGCTGTCCTGGAACTTGCTTTGTAGACCAGGCTGGCCTTGAACTCACAGAGATATGCATTCCTCTGCCTCCCGAGTGCTGGGATTAAAGGTATGCACCACCACCATCAGGCTGTTTTTTGTTTTGTTTTCTTCCCCCCCCCCCCCCCCCGACATCATATTTAAAAGACCGAAGGTGTGTCAAGGCCCAGGGACTGTTTCTGGGCAAGGCCCAGGCAGCTTGCATTCATTTCTGTTCTTCAGATGCAATGACCTCAGGTCCAGATATCGGGGCATGAAGCCATGCATCTCCTTCAGCCAAATGAAACCCACAAGCACTCCACATTCACAATGAAGCTTGAAACCAGTCAAGCATTTTTTTTTATTGTAAAAAAGAAAAGTCTAATGGTATACAGTCTCTACATGCTATAGCTAGGTGTTCACCCCCTGCCCCCTTACATTAAACACTCATGGGAAACAAAAGCCAACCCCAGGATCTGTCAGTCAGCCTAGAGGGTGTGAGAAGGGCTGAGAACCCAGGGGTCCCCAGAACCATCTGTGGGCAGACACACACAATGGGCCATGCTGCTCAGAGCCCACTGTTCCTAGAGGGATGCCAGAAGCAACTAGCTCCTCAATGGTCCCGAAACAGGAGCCGTGTATGGCTAAGGTGACCGTGGTTTATCACATTCCCCCAGTAAGAGAGGCGCTACTAATAATTACAGGGCACAAAGGCATTGCAGGCATAATATGGATACCTCCATTGCATTAGAATTGCTTATTGCTGTAGTAAGCCTGGTGGGGCACCTTTGCTCTTAAAAGCATAGAAATGAGAGTGAAGGCCATTGGCGATGGCACCAGGTCTGGTCTTTTGAAGGATGAAAGCCCTCGTTCTGATTAGCTTACTGTGGATAAGATGGAGACGAGAAGGAAGATGGAACACTCACATATGAGGGGCTTGGTACCTCAACTAGATAGCACCGGAGACCAGGCATCACTCCCCGGAGCAGGAAGGCCTGGCCTGTGGGAAGTTTGTTCAGAAGGAGGTCCATGAGCAGGTGAGGAGTATGAACCATTGTCTTGACTCTGTAGCTCTGCTTGGGGTCAGGTCAGTCCAGCTGCTGGAACCCTAGCAAGTTACGAGCTATTCTTCCAAGCAAAGGCAAGGCCTCAGTCCTTAATGCAAATTCATTTCCTACCCATTCAGCCCACACCCCTCTGACTTCAGGGAATCTTTGGTCTGTGGTAGGATATGGCTGTCTGTAGTATACAGAAAAAACCCTGAAGGACAGTTTAGACAGCCAGTGAAAGGGCCGAATAGAATTGTCACACTATTCAAAGAAATGGCAAGGCTTCCCAAGGTGCAGACTATGTCAGCACTGAAGAGCTCAATGGAAGGACAGGAGCTAAGCCATTAATGGTCTTGTTTATGTGATGCTGGGATGGAGCAGGAGCCCCATGAATGCTGGCCAGCGCTTTCCTGCTGCACTGCACCTCTAGTTGGCAGCTTTGAGAGGGTAGAGGTGGTTTCTTTCTCCCATTCAGAACACATATTTGGTGATAAACACTGGACTGTTCTTAAGTCTTGGGGAAATCTGGCACCTATCCTTTACCAAGGCACACATGCCCCCTGCTTTCCACCCACTACCCGAGTCCCTAGTGGGTTCAAAACAGTATAATGTCAAGAACTGTGCCATAGAAATCTACTCTATGGAGAAGCCTGGTAGCAGAGGTTAAAAAAGACTGAATGCCTGGCATGGCTCTAGCCATTTCCTGGCAGGATATGAAGTAGCTGGAGCTCAAACCTCCCCTGGCCTCCATCTGGGGCCATGAATGGACAAGAGTGACTCTGGCCAGAAAATATAAGCAAAGTCTCATTTTACCAAGTGGCCGTTTTCAAGTCCAGGTCTCCAGAGGTCAGGGCACTACACTTGCTCTCAGGCTGAAACAATGTAGCCAGAGAGCAGGGCCATGTGGCCCATGACCAATGTTTGGCAGGTGGTTGTGGAGGCAACACCTAAATTCAGAAACTGGGTCACCAGACTGTCTGCAAGGACTCTACATATTTTTCTGCTGGTGACCAGTATCTGGACAAGTCTGGATGTGCCACCATGCTCTTAACTTTGACTTAACTTTCTCATTCATTACATATTGGGGCTGATCTTTGTCATCTCACGGGGATGACGTGAAGACTAGTTAAGGGGGTGGTGGCAGGTTTGTGTTGGTGATCTGACTTGTGATTGGCCTAGACATTGCTTCCATGGTCTTGGAAGTTTTCCAAGGCAGGGATGGAGGGGAATCTGGCATAGGCTCCATCCCAGAGGACTGGTCACAGCCCTGGATGTTGAAAAGCTAAGCCCCAGGCACAGGAAGCTGGGTGAGTCGATGGCTCCGAGGATTTACTCACTTCAGTTGACCAGAGCAATGATGACCACTATGGCTGATGGAGCTTGCCACAGAATCTTCAGGCTGTGTGTGTGACCCAAGAAAAGGACAGTGAACAAGAATGCACCTTGCACACCTACACTTCACATTAGCACAAGGAGAGGGCAAAAGGCAAATTCTAGTACCTGTTGCAAAGTGGGGACTTGCAAACTACTGGAAAGTTTACAGAGAGCCAAATGCAAATAAGAAAAACAAAACAAAACAAAACCCCAAAAACCCTTTGCTTCTTCAAAGACCTGTAAAACAGCTTCATGAAAGCTATTCAAGTGAAGGTGTCAAAACTCAAAAGGAGACAAAAACTATGAAGTTTCCTGCACAGTGGGAGTGTGTGTAGCCTTGAAGAAATGCTAAGACTCTCTCAGCCTTCCCTCTCTCTAACTACTGCTTTCTCCTGAGGCATTGGGTACAGACTAAGCAGGAATGTCCCTCAGGAGGTATCTCATACCCTGGCCCAGTACTCCGGGGGTGGGGCTGAGCAGAGGAAGAGAGTTGTGGTACCACCATGGGTTAGAGGAAAGCAACCAGAGCCAGGGGAACACAGAGCAGGGGCTGGGAAAGGGTGGGTGTGCAGAAGAGATCTGCTTGCACAAAATCTTTGGCACTGCAGGTAAGATGCAAACATCTTGGAAAAGGGTCTTTGTGGTTCCCAAAGCACAGGTTAAAAAAAAAAGGAGTGTGTGTGTTTGTATGTGAGGGACGGGGGGGGGCGATTTCTGGGGTGGGCATAGAGCAAAGACAGGGTCTTTGGGATGGGATTCTGTCCTCTCAACCCCACCCCTCTTTTCCAGGAAACCTGTTCATAGGTACAAGTTGCTCTGGGCTAGGGGCTAGAAATCTGAGTCCTGATTTTAGCCCTGCAATAGCTAAGCAGACCTCCTGAGGTCTCAGTTAAGTCTATTAGTCAAAATAGGGAAGGGCTGCCCTGGGCTTCTAAGGAGAGATCATGCTAAAAAAGTAAACTGCTTTACAGGAAGCCACACCTGCTGGGGGGCAAAAGTCTTGGCTACTGCAGGGTCTTGGCTACCATTGCTCTGCTTAGTTTGTCACCGACCCATCTGTTGGTCCTTAGCTACAAGAGAGAGCCCCCTTTCAAACCACCAAGGGATACTGCCTCAGCTTTCAGTATTCCCCTTCTGTACACGGGGAACCAACCTACAAGCTCTGTGCCAGCTACTAAGGATCCAGGGTATGCCCTGCCCTGGAGAAGCAGCTACAAGTCTAGGGCAGTCACTCACTACTGTTCCCTTGTTCATACCACAAGGAAGCCCCCAGGCCACCTGCCCTGATACCCAGTAAACCCCTATCTCTTCCCCCACTGGCTTGTTCCTTTCTGGGAGAAGAATATGGATACTGGAATCAGGCAGGCTTGGACTCGAACTTCCTCCCTTCTCTTCCTAGCTAGTGTGTCCTGGAGCCTATAGAGCCCAAACTTCCTCATCTAGAAAATGGGTATTTTAGAATAGTGGGGGCTGGCTGAAGGTTTGGGTATGAAGGCAAAAGGCCAAGGTCAGTTTGGCACCTACTGGGCAAAGAAGCATCCATAGGCCAAGCGCCTTGTGAAGGGTCCTTATTTAAACAAACTTGGGAACTCTTGTTTTAGGGACTGGGGAGGAATTGTAATTTGAAAGCCCTGGATGGACCAGAGGCAGCAACAGTGAAGTGAAGCATGCTCCTTGAGGACTGATCATGGTCCAAGGCAGACAGACAGGAGGCAGGATGACCAAGTGACTCTCCAGGACCTCTTCAGGGCAGCTGCATCTGGTCAGGACTAAGAAACAGAAAGCCCGGAAGCTGATTCCTTGAGGACACAGTTCTTCCAGGCATTCTGGGAACAGTGAACAAAGCCACTACGGGGATTCTATAAACATGGAGAAGTTAGATCGAGTTGTCACAAGCTGTGCGAGCTGTCCCTCTATGACACATCTGAGCACTGAGGTGCAGTCTGGAAGCTTTCCAGGTGACAGGTCTCAGTTCTGGCGGTCTGAGAGTGTCACTGTCCTGTTCCTGGGTGACAATACCATTGACTAGGAGAATAGATGCTACTATAGAGGGATGCTGATATGATTTCCACCTAGCAAAGGCTGTGGCTATTGAGCCTTCTGGGGATGCCACAATAGGAGAATCAGACCCCAGGCAACAGGACATCCCTGCACCAAGCATTCCTCACCCAGGAAGGGAGGAAGACACAGCATCCAATGGCCTCCTTCCTTGAAACTATGTGGAGACTGATAAATTAAGATGTGTATTAAATATGTGAGGGAGGCTGGCCGGGAGAGCAGGGGTCTCTGGGCAGGGTGGGGAAGCTAAGGTTTCTTCCGGAGGTAGTTGGAAGGAATCCAGCCTTCCCAGGAAGGAGCCCCGCTCAGGACCTGGCAGAACCACCAGCCACTACTGCTCTTTTCCCGAACTTCAAACACTGTCCCTTCCTGGAAGCTGCTGGTATCTTCATCTCCTTCGAAGTTGGCCACGGCCACGTACAGTGAGTCCTTTGGGCCATCAGCATTGAGGAAGGAGGCTGCTTTCTCTCTGTTTTCTCCCACCTTGCCAGCTATGCGTGGCCCAGACCCACCTTTGCCTCGAATGTCATCTTGACCCACTGAAGAGTTGGAGAGGAAGGGTTTGGCTTTCGGAGGGACAAGGAGGGCCCGGCCTGGAGCAGGAACAGCCCTGCTTTCATTGGATTCACGCTGTTGCCCTCTGACCTCTGGGAGGGGCCTGCATGACAACGGTGATGAGGTTTTCTTGGGGGGTGGGGGTCTCCGGGGTGGGACCACAGGTCTTTGTTGGGTGGCTTCTTGGACAGGCATAGGCAAATTCTTGGGCCCAGGGTCTGTGGTCTTGGCTGGCCTGGGAGGGGCTCTGCAGGGTGACTCCTTTGGACTCAGGCCATCCTGTCTGCCAGACCTGTCCTGACTACGGCCAGGTCCCTCCACTGGAAGGAAGCTTCGGGTGAGGGCTGTGTCATGGCCTCCAGCAGCATGGTGGCTCTCGCCATCCAATAAGGCTTTTTCCTGGGACTTGGCAGGTCTGAGTTTGCTCCTGAGGTTATGTATGTCCACTTGATTTTCACTCTGAGCTGGCTCTGTCTTGGGGGAAGGAGTTGGTTTGGGCCTAACCTGAGGTCTAGACTTCAAGAACGGATTCTGGGCAGTGGCTTCCACCTTCTCTTCGGGCAGCTCGGCTTTGGACCTGGAGATGGGACGGAGGTTGGGCTTCTTCACTTCCTTGGCCAGCACCTTGTGACCACACTCTAGCCCCATGTCGTTTTTCAGCAGGAACAACTTGCTTTTGTCAGGTTTGGGCTCTGGCTTCCTACTGTCTCGGGCCGGTGGGGCATGCTTGGCTGGAATCATTGGCAAAATCATGCCAGGAGGCTTGGGGGAGGAGCCCCTGAGCGGCTCCATCTTCTGTCTCTCCCTCTCCAGCAGCTCCTCTTCGGACTTGATGATGGACTCTTTGCGTGGAGGGAGGCTGGGCTTCTCCTCCTGTGTAGGGTCTGAGATCTCCTCATAGCCTGCTGATGCAGACAGGTCTGAAGATGCCTTTCCCCCTTTCCAGTCTTTGGACCACAGCACCCCAGAGTCCATAGCACCATGTGGTGCCTCAGGCAAGGGTCTGGACGGCCCTGTTGCTTCTGGACCCAGATTGTTCTCCATTGCAGGTGCATCCCCAAGCCGAAGCTGAGTCATCTCATGGGGCAGGGGAGCCAGGAAGTTGGGCCTTGAGGCACTGCTGGTCTTCTTGTACTTGTCAATGAAGGTTGCTGGGGCCCATCCCTCCTTATCTTCCATCTGAATGTACCACCAACCACTTAAGCTCTTCTCAATCACCTAGGAGGGGGACAGGAAAAGCACTTAGTAGGTCTGATGCCACACCCCAGGCAGGGTCCTCAATTTATGAAAGAGCCTACATGAAACAGGTACCCTGGAAGCTGTATTCTGACCCTGCTAATTCTCCCACTCTCTATGCTAGACCAGTATGGCGGTGTGAATGAGAATGACCCCCATAGGCTCTTCATGTCTGAATACCTGCTCCCCAGTTGGTGGAACTGTTTGGGAAAGACTAAGAGATGTGGCCTTGTTGGAGGAAGTGTGTCATTGCAGGCGGACTTTCAGGTTTCAAAAGATTTGTTCCATTCTCTCTCTCTCTCTCTCTCTCTCTCTCTCTCTCTCTCTCTGTCTCTGTCTCTCTCTTTGCCTCTTGCTTGGGGATCAAGAAGTGAGCTCTTAGCTGTTCCTGCTGCTACACCTTTGCTTTGCCATCATGGACTCTTAAAAAACCTCTGAAACTACAGGACTGATCCAGACCCCTGAACATGGATGTCAATGAGGAGGCCTCCGAACTCTAGGGGGCCCCTGGTAGTGGATTAGTATTTTTCCCTGGTGTAAGAAGGCACTTTGAGAGCCCATTCCACGTGAAGGGATGCACTCTCAGCCTGGACACATGGGGGAGGGCCTAGGCCCAGCCCAGGATGGTGTGGTGGACTTTGGGGAGCTCCCGTCAAGGGTCCTACCCTGCCTGGGGAGTGGAGGGTGGATAAGGCAAGGGGGTGTTGGCTGGGGGGGAGGGGTAGGAGGGAGGGGTGGGAGACGGAGAGGGAGAGGGAGAAGGGATTGACATGTGAAACAAGGTTGTTCCTAATTTGAACTAATAAAAAAAATTAAAAAAAGAAAACCCTGTGAAACTGTAACCCCAGCTAAATGCTTTGTAAATTGGCTTGGTCAGGGTGTTCTGTCACAGCAAGAGAAAAAGCAACACAACCCTCTATGGACACTGTATCAGGACTCACTGAAGGTGGGTTCTTGTCCAGATTGGATTTTGAGATGGGGGTATTGCTACATTGCCCAGTCTAGCTTCCAATTCCTGGCTCAAGCCATCTTCCTGCCTTAGCTACCTGAATAACTGGGGTAAAGGTGCACACTGCCATATCTATCAGGTTCATGTCCACTTTTGGATTGTGATGGGAACCCTTTTAAAGATGTGTCTGACAGTAACTCAGAAGGCACCTCTGGGGTACTTACTGACATTCAGCCCCTCTGCACCCTGGGTTTTAATTCCTTTTCCCTTGTATGAGGTGGGAAGCTACAGGGTCAACTTGGGAGGACTAGGCCACCAACACCACCTGCTGCAATGCCAAACAAGGCAAAAGCCACAGAGAGGGAAAACTACCCTTGATCCTTGATCCTGGCTTCTTTGGCCGAACACTAGAAGATTGGCTGGTGTTTACAGCAGCTGTGCCATATGAAAATTGACAATCCTTAAACACAGGAATTACACTTATGTCTATGATATGCTATGCTAACATCCAGGGGAACAGAGGCTGATGGAATAATGCAAGTTTCATCTCTTCTCTCCATCTCTCTCTCATGCCCATACCCACTGGATTGATTGATGGTGAGTAGAAATGGCGATGTCATTTAAGATATGATGTTTCCTGTGTCTTTTTGATCCAGTATCATCTGAGTGAATTTTTGGAGATGAATGGCACACAAACTACACTATGGGCTGAAGTGTGCCCCAAAATCCCTATGTGGCATTTACCTTCAGCACTCCAAATGTACTTGCATCTGGATAGGGTCTTTGAAGGGGTAACCAGGTGGAAATGGGTCATAAGAGCAGCCTTTAGTTTACTAAACTGGTGCCTTCAAAGGAAGAGATTTGGAAACACAGAGTAAGGGATGGCACGTGAGGCCACAACACGAAGGTGGCTATGGGTAGATCAAGGAAAGAAGTCCCAGGAGATACCAATCCTGCCACACCTTCATCTTGGACTTCAGCTCCAGCACCACAAGAAGGTAAATCACTGTGTTTAATTAGTCTGTCTGAGGTATTTTGGTGTATGGCAGGCCTAAGAGAACCAGCACCAGCGATTCCCCAGCAGGTTCTGTACACAGGAAACCTGATGCTCATGGCCCTCCTAAGATCCAGGGACCATCATTTCACTCTACAAATGCAGAGAGCTGTGGACTGGAGAGAGGGTTCTGGAGAGAGTGAATGGTGGAGGGGAGAGTGGAGGGCAGGCAGTTGGGCTCTGAGGACTGCCAGACCCTGCCTCTTAGGAAGAGCCAAGCCTGGCCCGAGAAACTGCTCTACAAGTCATAAGGCCTGAGGGCTGGCAGGAGGGATAGCAGCCATGGACTCAGCACTGGGAGGCCAACTCTGGGGCCTGCAGTCTTGGGTTTTAGCTCAGAGCTATGCCATTTGAATGATGCCAGCAACATCAACAGCAAACTCAATGGCAAGATTACTAATGCCTGAACAAGCAAAAGTGCACTATCTTTGTGAAAGCATGCGAGTGTACTTGGTAGGTGTTACGTTAGCAAATCAGAGGGTAGGTCTCCAAGAAAAGGATGCACTGGACAGGTAGGACATAGTGAGTCTAGCGGGACTGACAAACGGGTGACCAGCATGCTATTATACTCAGTAGTACTGGATATGGTTAATGTCACTGCTGTACACACAGCCTTCATTAGCCTTCAACTCCATCACTAAGACGGTGTGAGGGAAGGAAAGTAGGATAATAATGAAGAGAAGATGCCGGTGTGGCTCTATTACACTGACACTCAAGGGAAAAGAGAGTGGCAGAAACTCTGGCCATTTGGATTTTTGTTTCCTGTTGAGACAGGGTCTCTATACAGCCTGTCCTGGAACTTTCTATGAAAACAAGGCTGGCTCTAGCTCATAGAGGTTGGACTCCTTTTGCTTCTTGAGTGCAGGGATTAAAGGCGTGTGTACCTATGCCTGCCTCCTACTTGGAGTCTCAATCATGTTCTTGTTGGTAGACAGAGCCATGTATTATGATGAAAGAAACAAATGCAAGGTCACAAGAATGAAAGGGAACAACCTGGGCTTTAAAACCAGACAGATCTCAATTCAAGTCCTTGCTCCACCACTTACTAACTGTACCCCAAGATGAGCATTTACCCACCCTGAATTGTATCTGTAAGACAAGCTGCTATCAATTTCCCAGGCCTCCTGTCAAGCTTAGTTCTCAAGAAGGTAAGGCACCAAGGAAGTGCCTACACCAACAGCACACTTACCATTGCCGCCCCACTGCCATCTCAAAACATGTTTGAAATATAAATAGAGCAGACACTGAGCTCAGTCTCACTGTAGCCTGATTTCCAGGAACCTCTGGATGCATTAATGAGTGTGGAGGCCTGAGATTATATAGATGCGAACCAGAAAGCAAAAGAGGATAAAAGAAAATGGTATATAGAACTCATCACAGGAAAAAAACAACTGTTTAAGCCTCAAGCTTTAGTAGCAATCATTCGCTCAAAAATCTACCGGTGGGATCTGTCAACATCGTGGGACTGTAAAACAAAAAAGTCTCAAGGTGGGTGGTGGCTATGATTTTGTTAAAGAATGCTTGACATGATGGGCATGGTAGCACATGCCTTTCATCCTGGTTCTTGGGAAGCAGAATTAGGAATTATGAGTTCTAGACCAGCCTGGTGTCCATAGTGAGTTCCAGGTCAGCTGGGGCTAAAGTGGGGAGAGGGGGTGGGGGTGGGGGAAGAGTGCTGGAGTTTGTTGCTGGACCAGCTTGATCAAGAATAGAGGAGAAAGGTCAAAAGAGAAAAAGAGCAGCAACACCTTCATTAATGCCCTCTTTCAGTGCAGATGGGTTGCCTAGATCCTGAGGATCCCTGGTAGACGTTTTAACATTCTGAGCTGTGGTGGCAGCACCAACTGCTCAACACCCTGTACTAGCAGAAACTACAGGAGATACATTGCCAAAGGATCTCTAACTTTCACAAACTGAATCAAACCCAGGGTCTGTGTGTGCACACCAAGCCTATGCTCTACCACAAAGCTATGCCCCTAGCCCTTAAAAGCTGTGTCTTAAAACCACGGTGGTTTTCAGTTCTCTGGGGAAGAAGCCTTTCATAGACTACAGTATGGGCTTCTGGTTTCAAGGTGGAATGGACAGTTGTCTTCTCTTTATGCAGCACATTCAAGGAAAGAAAGTTGTGGGGCTGCAGCCCTGATCATAGGGGGAGGTGGGAGGGGTGGATTAAAGTCTAGAAGAATCCTCAGGTGAGCCCTCACAATTTCTCAGTGGGCACAGAGTTCTGCAAAGGATAGAAGACAGGGTGGCACTGAGGGAGGTGGGGACAAGAGCCAGCACATGACTGGGTGGGAGTAACTAGGATGTCACCACACAAGCAGCTAGCCTGGCTGGCCTCTGTCCTAGGTCCTGTTCTTGTATGGGAGATTGTAAGTGGCATCTGTGACCCCCTGAAGGCTGGGGTTACAGAGCTGTGACACTGCTCAGTGGCTGGCTCAGAAGTCTCTAGAAGCCGATCAACCTCTTTTGTATATTTCCACGGACTATCTCACAGCTGCCTTGTCTTTCATTCTATGATGCTTGATGATGGGACTCAGGGCCTCACATGTGCTTGGCAACTAATATTACTTCTGAGCTACAGCTGTAGCCTCTGCAGCCAAAACCAGGGACTGATTCCCGGGAATAACTGCAAGAAATATCAGTAACAACACAAAGAATTGACAACCGAGGAAAAAGACCATCACTGATAACAGCAGGAGTGCAAGTTAAACCACCTTCCTTATACAGATAGAGAAGAACACTAAATTAATCCAAGGCCAGATGAAACAAAAACAGGCAGCTGCAAAAAAGAATCATGAAGGATGCTTGGAAATGAACACTGTAATTGTTGAATGAGAATAAGAAACATACTGAACAGCTGAAGAGCAAATTGATGAACTAAGAAACTGGCAGGATGTCCTAAGGATGTGCCGCTCATATTCCAGTGGTTGATATGTCATCTTAGATTGCTCATGGTATCTACCATCTGTAGGTAGGTAGGAAGTAAGAAGTCATATTGTATTATTTTTTAGGGAAAATGACAAGCCAAAAAGTACATGTTCCACAGAGGTATAATTTTTGCTTTTTCTTTCTTTTTTTTTCCTTTTTTTTTTTTTTTTTTTTTGAGACAGGGTTTCTCTGGGTAGCCCTTGCTGTCCCAAAACTCACAGAGATCCACCTGCTTCTGCCTCCCAAGTGTTGGGAGGATTAAAGATGTGTACCACCAATATCTGGTGTAATCTCATCTTTTTCAATGCTCTCAAAATCACAGATATGATCCTAGGAACATGAGGAGTGACTGGATTATAGATATCATAGAGATGAGCAGACTTAATCTCTGCCTCCTGAAGTGGGGTAGGAAGCATCTGGCCAAGGTTTACTCATGACAGAGCAGAAGTAGGGGTGCCAGTGGCCAGACCCCTTGGTTCTGTCAGGAGGCTTCTTCGAAGAGCTTCGAAGAGGCTTCTTATCCAGAGCTTTGATGCTATCCTGTTACCTGCAGGCTTTCTCGAGTGCATGGGAAACATTTTTCATCCCTAAGCTTGTGAAGATAAAAGATGAACACGAGAAGACAAAGGACTTTCTATGGCTATCCAGGGATACAGAGCACACATGCAGAGAATGGGAGGGAAAGATGAGAGATGGGAAGCAGGAGGTGATAGGAAAAGGAACATAGGACCAGGAGATGGCTCAGTGGATGAAAGCACTGCTATGTAACACTAATGACCCAAGTTTGATCCCTGGTCCCATGGTGGCTCAGGTCTGTATTCCCAGCCTCAGTACTCCTATGGCAATAAGGAAGGTGGAGACAGGGGTTTCTGCAAGGGCATTGGAACTGGAGGGTGGTGATGGTTACACAACTCTGAATAAAAGAAACCACTGATTTTTCCACTCAAGTTGGCAAACAGTTTGGTATGTGATTATGAAGATATAGTCATACCTTAATAAAGCCATTAACATTGTTTCCCCTCCACCATAGCAGGAGGTAAAAAGAGAGAAGGCAATGCCAACAATGAAGAATGACAGCATGTGTGCTCACCTCGACCTTCAGGCCGGCCTGGAAGCTGATGCCATCTGGGATGGTGGTCTGGAACTCTGCAATGGTGTAATACTCTTCTTCCACCTGGGGTGGGATGGGAGGCTTCGGCAGGTTGAGGCCTCGAGGCTGACAGGGTTACACACAGGGCTGACTGAGTCATGGTGGAATGAAGGGACTAGGGTATACAACATCACCACTGACAGGGTGCTGGGAAGCCTAACTAGCTTCTGAGGGGCAAAACAAAGGGGATTTGACTGTCACCTCCTAGTTGAGGTTTCACTTGCCCTTCAACTTTACAGTAACAGGAGCAGCATGGGATATCCCAGAATATCATGAGAATTTGGGAAAACACGAAAGTGTCTGAATGTAAGAGGCAATGAGGCTATGGGAAGACCACAGGTCTTTGGATCAGACCCATGTGGACCATGTCAAGCCTCCTCTTCATCTCCTATAGAATGGGCACCCTAACACTACTGGCCTGGGATACTTGCTACCAAGTGAAGCACCTAGCACATTTAGGGTGCTAGCCAAGTACCCAAAAAGTGGCAGACATTTTCCGAAGGCCCTTTTCCAAATTTCTTTGTGATCAACAGTGTTTTACAGTTTGAATATTTATATACATAGTGAGACATCCTGGGGATAGGATCCAAGTTTGCACACAAAATACATTTGCGCTTCATGCATACTTAGCCTGAGTGTAACATTTTCCAATATTTTTTAACGTGCCTGTGTTTTGACTGAGGTCAGGTATGGAATTTTCATTCCACTTTTGGTGTCATGATGGTGCTTAAAGTGTCAAGATTTTCAAGGATTTTATGTTTTTGGATTAAGGATGCTCAATGTTAAAGAGGTACCTATTAGGCAGGACACGGTGGTGCACATTTTTGATCCCAGCACTCAGGAGGCAGAGGCAGGCAGATCTCTGTGTGTTTGAGGCTAGCCTGGTCTACAGAGGGAGTTCCAGGCTAACCAGGGCTGTAAAGTGAGACTCTGCCTATAAATAAGTAAGTAAATGAATGAGTAAATAAATGGACATAGAGAGTTAAAAATGGATCAGAGCACCAGATGTCACCATAGACAAACCTGTGCCTCTAAGCTTGGGCCTGCTTCACATAGGTGGCTTCATGAAAAAGGAGAACTGCTTGGAAAGTACTGGAATATGTGAGGTCTGGAGGGTAAGCCAGACAGGCCCCAGGCCAAGGAGGTGGGGCCCTAAGGCAAGTGTGCACTTACAATGGTCATGTCCCGGCGAGGAGGGGGTCTCTGCCTCATCTTTGGTGATCCTACGGGGAAACAAGATGTCACTCACATGCAGAGTTCCACAGACAGATTCCCAGATGTGGGAGCCAGGGGGCGGTCTCCTCCCTCCCCAGAAGCCACATGTTTGTGTTTCTGTGAGCCTTTGTGAGAACAGCCTGACTATGCTCTCCTTAAGCTAGGCCCAGGTGCCTCCATCAACATGGCCTTCCCTGGATCTTTTCTACCTGGGAACAACAGATGAATGACACTGGCCCTCAAGTAAAGGGAGACTGTCCACACAGGGTGTAAAGCATGTGTTCAGAGCTATACAGGGCTGGGTCCGGACTCATCCCAGCATAGCACAAAATTACTGTTTGACTCTTCAGCCCTAGGTCATTTCCTGTGGAGTAGCTTAAAGCATACCTCTCCCTGGCAGCTGGGGTAACATGAAATACCAACTTCCATATCTACTGTTTCTAGACTTCTTTGCAGCTTGGTGTTGCCATGTGTGACTAAGTCCAGTACAGTATGAGGGAAGGTGGAACATTTGAGTTGTTTCACTCCTCCTTGCCTTTCTCTGGCTGGAGAGTGATGGACCACATTGAATAATGAGGGCAACACGAAACAGATGCAGGAGACCAACTGCATGGAAATATCATCTCAGCTGTAGGCACAAAACTGCTCTGTTGTGTAGAATGGAAATGAGTTTCTAGATCAAATGAGCCACTGTTTTGGCATCTGAAAATCCTAACAAAGTCATGCTACTTCAGATTTTCATTCGGTCCCCTAGCATTAGCAGGCTATGCTCTTGACCATGAGAGTCCAGAATCACAGAGCCCTGCCATGGCCTGCAGCACCCATGAAGCTCTTTGTACTTAAGATGGTGCAGAGAACATGGAACTCAGCTCAGTGCCCTCATCTCTGTGAGGAAATAGAGTTCTTTCTTCACAGATTCTTGCTACCTTCAGGACCAGCACAGGATGCTGGGCACTGTGTTGAGGCCACAGTTCCAAGTACAATGCAGACAACTATGATAAACCCTGTTCTCAGGTGTGTGGGGAATACTAATAGTAAAATACATATAGAGAGGCTTTGAAGAGCAAGATGGGTGAAGCACTGTGGTGGAAGCAAAACCAACACGGCTCACATATGAGGCCATGGAGAAGACTGAGGGGTATGGGCCTTGGGATCAACCCCCAGTCCCACTGTTACCAGGTGAACGACCTCTCATCACTTATTTTTTTGTCTCATCACCTATTTTTCTGATTTTTATCTGTAAAACAAAAGCAGTCCCTCAAAGGTTGTCAGAGGAGCCAGTGAGCTAATTAGGAGACTCCTGACACTAGGAGCTTGATGTCATGACACAGTGGGACAATCTAGGGAAGGGACAGTACACTGCTCAGATTCTGTAGCCTCCTGGTCCAATGGCCTAGGCGAGTTACCCAAGGTCCCCCAGTTTTTATTTTAGCCTGCAGGATATCAACAGATAGCAAGCTGTTGCAAGGAAGAAGGGTGACATGGAAGGTGTTCTAAGTCAGATAGACCTCAGCTATCTGGAACAAGGGTGGGTATCACTCACTCTGTTTAACATCACCATCTGGCACCAGACGACCTTCAAACCGGCCATCCCTCTGGTTGTTGAGCAGCTCCTTCTCCCTGCCCAGAGCATTCTGATGCCGAGAAACACCATCCAGGTCAAGGGCCCCTGAATGGGCAGATGAGCTGGGGCCCAGCTTTGGGGGCAAGGGCTCCCCACTGCTTTTCTTTAGGTAGGAAGCAGGGGCCCAGCCCTCTTTGCCCTGGAACCTGGGAGGAAGGTAAAGGATTCTGGTTAGGTTGTTTTTCAGGGTATTGATGTGTGGGGCTGGGGAAGCCATGCATCTATATGTCAGGTTCAGGATGGTGGGAGTTGTGGTTTGAAAGAAAATAGCCCCCAAAGGGAGTGGCACTATTAGGAGTTATGCCCTTGTTAGAGGAAGTGTACCACTATGGAGGCAGGCTTTGAGGTCTTATATATGCTCAAGCTATGCCCAGTGAGACAGACCACTTTCTACAAGACGTTAAGAACTGTCAGCTTCCTTCATGTCTGTCTGCATACTGCCATGCCCCACCATCATGATAATGGATTAAACCTCTGAACTGTAAGCTAGCCCAATTAAATGTTTTCCTTTAAAAGAGTTGCTGTAGTCATGGTGTCTCTTCAGAGCAATAGAAACCCTAACTGAGACAATGGCACAGTGAACTCGTAAGTGTTGTGGGTCAGAACATGCAATTCACTGCCCTTGGATGATGCCTAAGCCTTCACACTAGCCTTCTAGGCCTTCCCCATTTGGTCTCCACCTGCCTCTCTCAATAGCCACATAATCCTTCCACTTGCAGTCTTCCAAATGCAGCCTGCTTGTCACTTCCCCACATTGCTGTTTTGGTGGGCCTCTACCTGGCAAGCTCCCTGCTCCCTCCTGGTGGCACCTGCTCCTCTTCCCAGGCTTTAGTGACTGTCATTAAGTCTTGTTCTGATCCCTAAATGAGGCCCAGTCTCCACAATAACCCTCTGTCTTCTTCACACTCTGTAATGTCCAGCACCTGCAAAATGCACTTGGTTGTGGCTTTCCTGTCTCCTAGTTAGAATATGAGCCCCTGGGTACAAGCATCTGGGTATCAGTGAACTCAATAAAGAAATGAAAGGCCAAGGGGACAAGGGGACAAGTCACCAATATCAAATCACATCATGGGCAAACAGCAGTAAAGCTCTGCATCAGAGTGTCCCCTACAGTACCACTGTGATGGTGACAATAGTGAGAGCCAGCACTCTTGGCACCTACTCTGTCAGTCCTGCCCTAATCATGTCACAGCTATTAGTGGGTTTGAGCACAGCCAATCTTGGCAGGAGGGACTGCAGGACTGGCCCCCAACCCCCACTTCTCAGCAAAGCTTCTTAAGCACTGACGTGACCCCACCAATGGAAAATTCCACACTTGACTTCATGTGACGGATCACAGTCAAAATGCAGCTGTATTAGACTTGCATGAACTCATCTTCCAGCTGTGCTTATACAGTGTATATGCAACACAGCGAATCTTGGGTTTACCCGTGGCCCTCCTCATCCCCAAGGCATCACATTACACATATGCCACATTCCCAAAAGATGAAAACATCCCAGATCCCAAAAACTTCTGTTCCCATGCATTTCAGATAAAGGATTTTCAACCAGAATTGGGTTCTGCCTTAAAGACAAGAAGCCGGAGACCCATTGGTGTTAAACACCGCACTCAAGTTTACAAGCAATTCTGTAGCAGGAAATGACTCAGCCCTCTTAATTTGTTCTTTGTGGCCTTTTACAAGCAGCTTCAGCCTGTGGTTCAAAGCCTCACACTGACAGGACAGGGCTCTGTGTCAGTTGACACAACATACTTAGATTTGAATGATGTAGTTCCTTGTTGGTTGTCACTGAACTGAGGAATGACAGGGACTCTGACATACCAGCTCATTGTCCCTAAAAAGGATATCAGTGAGGACAATGATTGTTGATTCTCACATGGCAGAACTTGGGTTTCATAATAACAAGTCGGGTCAGTTTGGACCAGATATACTGGAGCAAGCCCACACCAGATCACTAGAGCTCACAGCACAGATTTCTTCTGAACTCCACATTTAGTGGCATCACATTGGTGGCTTGAGTGTGGCCACAGGACAAGTATTTACACCATGGAAATCAGCCAACCCCACTGAGAGCTACTAATATCTCTCCAAACAGGTGCTCACACCTGTAGGGAAAGAGGAATAGACCCAGCTGACTAGTCATGATTGCAGCAGAGAAGAATCTCATTAAAAATCACTTAAAGAAGCTGGGCAGTGCTGCACACTTTTAATGCCAGCACTGGGGAAGCAGAGGCAGGTAGATCTCTGTGAGTATGAGGCCAGCCTGGGCTACATAGTGAGTTCCAGGACAGTTAGGGCTATGTAGAAGCCCCATATCAAAAAACAAACGAACAAAACCCTCAACAAAACAACTAAAAAACAAAATAAACCTGCTTTAAAAACAAAATGGCAAAACGGCTTGGGTTTCAGTGAAAAACAGGTCATTTGTAACTGGAGGCAAATTTACAAGGAGATAGAAATCTGTACAATTACACATTTGTCAAACTTAAAAAGTCCTCTAAGAGGGAGCAAGTCTTGCTTTAAGTAAAAAAAAGCTAGCTGAAAACACAACACAGTGCACATCCTCAGGCCATCATTTGGGACACAGACACAAGCTCAGGCGGCACACATGGGAGAGTGAGCAGGCTCTGGGGACACTTCCCAGCTTTGGATGACACTTTACCTCAGCCTGACAACTGCTTCCTGAACTCCAGAGCTGTGAGTTCCAGGGTATGTTACTCTGCAGCATGGTGCTGTGACAGTTACATGTTATTTAATGATTGAGCAATTTCTGAGAAATGCTTTACTAGGTGACTTGTACCCTGGGCAAACACCATAGTATGCTTACACAGACAGAGCGGCCCACTACACACCCAGGCTATGGTGTAAGATATAAAATAGTGTTCTCTCTGAGGCTTGGGGATCTCAGAGGCCTTGCCTATTAGGACTTTACAGGAAACATATGGTCAGGGAGGGAGGCAAACTCTCATTAAGATAAGTCCTTTCATGGCTGAGGCAGAAATGTCACCTGTCTGCAGTTTCTCACAGACCTCTGTGAAACTGGAGCCCGTCAGAGACCCAGGGCCCACTGAACCACAGGGGAGGCATAGGCAGATACCTGATCTTCCACCAGCCTTCCAGGTTCTTCTGGATGACCTCCACCACAGCCCCTCGCTCTAGGTTCATTTCGTCCTGGTCACGAGCTGTGTATGGATAGATGACTGTATACTTCTCCTCTGTGGGGACACAGGGTGATGGGGTGAGAAAGAGACCAGAGGAGTCTAGGATGCTGGCTGGGAACTTGAATCACACAGAGGGAAATTCTCTGAGGTTTCTGGCTCCCCAGGCTCCTGCAGAGCTCTAGAGGTCCCAGTCCCTCTGATGGCCTCGGCATCGCACAACTGCCCTTGTTTCCTTCCAATCTGTGCCTCAAGGTCATGGTCCATGACTTCATGCAACATTCTGACACACAGCATCCTCATCTCCACGCTCAGGTTAATCCCCCATTTCAGGAATTACCTTCTAACTAACTCTACTTTTATTACTGTTTCAAGTCTGTTTCCTCTGGGAAGAGTATGAGCTCCATGAAGGCAGGGTCTGGTCTATTTCAGTCATGTCTTTGTCTCCAGCACTGGAAGATGCCTGGAAAAGCTGGCAATTGTTTCATGAATGAGCCTCTGGTTAGGGAGGGAGCATGTTCTGAACCCTGCCCCCTACAGGGTTTGGGGTGCTCCTTGCTCACACGGTGAATTAAGGCCCTGGGCTCCTGCTAGTTCTTGCTGGTGGAGACCAAAAGTTCAGAGATAAGCTGAAATTGCCACCAAGGAGGGGACAGAGAGCACTTCTCATTTCCTAGATGGTGACTAGACTACACTTTTTATTGGCCATGTACAGCCCTGATTCAACCGTGCTTAAACCTGCATGGCTAGGTTGCTTCCCCCACCCCACTCTCATCACAAG